TGTGCACAATAATAGTATAATAAATAAGACTCTAGAGGAACTCGGTTATTGCTTGTATGCCAAAAGTGAGATATGGTCTTACCAGAAGCTCACAGAGCCATCTGCCATCAAATGTTAGTCTTTGTGTCAATGGCTGGACTGGCCTGAGGAAATGGAAAACATCAGTGGACTGAAGCTAAGGATGACACCATCTAGTTCAAAAAGATTTAAAGGGAGCTACCTTAAGGAGCTAGAGATTTCCAGATGATTTTGAAATAAATATATAGAACTACTACCAAAAATAGTTAGATTTGAAATCTTGGCTGTTGAATGCTAATGAGTGCATCAAATGAGTTCAGTTTCTGCCACTCGGGGTATGTTCTGGAGTAATATAATCCTTATCTGCTTGGATTTGGGGCTGGAATTATTACAATCTTCTCTAATGTGTTTTTGCCAGTTTGATACATCAAAATCTGATCATCACCGAAGTGCTCTGCTGATGACATGACCACAAGTGACAGGAATATTGAGAGTGGATGCAAGCTCTAGGAGTGTATTAAAGCTGTTAGGATTTGTTGTTGTTTGTTTTCCTCATATTTTGTTGAGGAAAAGGAAGAGGGAACTCAGGGGCTGTCATCAGTAGAGACTTGGGCCTAAATAAATGTCATCAGCCAGTGACACAACTAAATGTGGAGAGTGTCAGACCTCATGGGGCTAGGGGAAGTCTGGGAGGACACAGGCATGCCGACCATTTAAATAGGAAGTGCAGTTGGAAAACGATTCACTGAGATGAAAAGTTCAAGGAGAGCCAAATCCCTGTGGCAGCAAATGCTGGAGAGTTTATAGGCCTTATCTGTGCAAGGTCTCAGCCAAGACTGGCCTTGGTAGAATTTATGCCTGAAGAATGTGTGATTTCTCACTGCTGAGACTCTGCATAGATTCCTGTTGGGAGTTACGGGGATGGGTCCCTAGGGACAGGCTTCAGTCCGTTTTGGTGGTTCAAACTCGCAGGACTCACCTCTGGATTTGATTTCCCTGTTTAGAACAATCCCTCCCAGTGGCACCCAGCACTGGTAGATATTTACAGTGGGTATGGTAGAATGGTGTCCAAGTCCATTCCAGTCCCTTGTAGTATGTATATTGTAGAGCCCAGAAAGATAAAAACTACATTTCTAGATGCCGGTTGAGCTAGAGTTCTATTGTGATTTAGGTGGGCCCTATCTGGCAGATGTACTAGTATGAGATTTGGAGAATGGTTTCATCATAGTGGCTAGGAACGGGGAGTTAGTGTTTAATGGGTTTAGAAGGTGAAGAATTCTGGAGGTGGGTGGTAGGGATACTTGCACAACCATGTGGATATACTTAGTCCCACTGAACTGTATACCTGAAAGTGGTTAAGATGTTAAGTTTTATGTTATGTGTTTTCCACCATAATTATTAAAAATTTTTTTAAAAGTCATTGTACTCTTGTGCACAAATAAAAAGGAAAATATAGGCCAATAACTTAGTGTTTTCCTAAAACTTCACATATAGAACTTACATCTTTAAATCAGTTGTTGATTCAGACTCGCTGCTGTCAATGCCTTTCCACATTGTCAATCTCTGTGCCATGAAGAACGCCGGTGATGCAGCATTTAAGAATGCTCCACTTCTGTCGTCAAGATTTTGGACCAAGCTCCTGACTAAGCACCTATCGTGGTGTGTCTGCACAGGCGATCCACCCTGGGCCTGACCATCATGGCACACCCCGATTTCAGAGACGTCCAAACGTGAAAAAAGGTATGCGCTAGAAGCCAATGAAATATTTCTCTCGACTTTTACTAGCTGGTGGGCTGAATCAGCCTAAAATGAGGCTGCCAAAGTGCTCTCTGTAAGTGGAAATCTCTTCCTGTTTAAAATCCTTCAATGGCTTTCAGACAGTGACCCACAGAACAATGTCCAAACCCCTTAGCATGGGATAAACAAATCTTCATGATTTGTTTCTGTAAAAATTATGACTATTTTAAACACACACAAAATGCAGAGAACATAATTTGACAAATATTTGACAAATGTTGACATTTTATCACATTTGCCTAGAATATTTTTTAATCTAAAGAAGTTTTTTCTGATGCGTCAAAGCTCTCTGCATACCACCCAGCTATTCTCCTTTTTTTCCCATAGCTAATCACTTTCTTGACGATGTCACAAATACCTTCCATGTATGTATCTATACTTTTACTATTATATGGACCCTTTCCTTCCTTTCTATAAACAATACACTGAATTGTCCTGTGTTTTTCATTTTTAAATACTTTTACTATCTGTATAAATCCTTCAGAACATGTTTCTTAGTGTTTTCCTGTTCGTGGGCACTAATGTTTCCAAATTTTTATGACTTCAAACAATACTACAATTAAGTTTTCAAGCATGTCTCTGTATAGCAGTGGGAGTATCCCTATAGCAGCTTTGTCTGTCAGAAATATAATAGAGCCACAAATATGAATCATGCATATGATTAAAAATTTTCTATTAGCCACATTAGAAAATGTAAAAAGAATCTGATGGAATTGATTTTTAATATTTATTCTTAAAATATAAAAATTAATGAAATATATTATTTCACACAAAGCCTTAAATCCAGTATGAATTTCTCCATTTGGACCAGCCACATCCAAGTGCACAAGAGTCACAGGTGGCTGGTGAGTGCTGTATGGACGGCCTGGCTCTGGAGTATACGGAGAGGGAGCCAGAGGGTCATAGGGTACGATATGCCATCTGCAACCTTACTGGATATCACAGATGTGCTCCTCAAAGTGTGTGAAGTCCCTCTTCCATGCTGTCCTTGGCAGTACTGAGTGGTCTGCCTCCCAGTCTTGGCTGGTCTGCCAGGTACAAAATGGCGCCTCATTATACTTTTTCTTTGGCTGTTTGTTATAGCAAGTTTGAGTATGTTTTTATGTTTGCAGATCATTTGGGTCTCTTTTTCTATGAGTTGCTCATTCTGATCCTTTTTTCACTTTTCTACTAAATTGTATTTTTCTTATTGATATGTGGTTCTTTATATATTCTAGGTACAGATCTTTGGCAGACATATATCTTACAAATGTCACCTTCTAGCCTGTGATTTGTCTCTTCATATTGTTTTTGTCATACAGGTTTTAATTTCAATGTAGTAATATTTATCAATATTTTATTTTATGAGCTTGTGTGTTTTTTACATGGGTTAAGAAATTCTTCCTTGTTCTAAAGACATAAAGATACTTGACTATTTTTTTGTTCTTTAAGAGTTTTAAAGTTTTCCTTTCGACATTTTGTTCCTTATTCTAGCTGGAATTTCCTTTGTGGAGTGGGTGAGGTAGAAATTTAATCTTACTACCTCACACCCATTAGGATGATTACTATTTTAAAAAAAGCAAACAGAACGTAAGGGTTGACAAGGAGGTGGAGAAATTGGAACTGCTGTGCACTGTTCTTGGGAATGTAAAATGGTTCAGCCACTGTGGAAAACAGCATGGTGGTTCCTCAAAATATTAAAAATAGAATTACCATATGATACAATAATGCCACTTCTGGGTACTGATCTAGAAGAATTGAAAGTAGGGTCTTGAAAAGATTTTGTATACTCATGTTCATAGCAGCACTATTCATAATAGCTAAGCCCTGGAAGCAACCAAGTGTCCAGTGATGAATGGAGAAGCAAAATGTTGTACATACATACAACAGAATATTATTCAGCCTTAAAAAGGAAGGTCATTCTGATATGTGCTATAATATGGATGAACCTTAAGGACATTACGGTAAATGAAATAAGCCAGTCACCAAAAGACAGATACTCTATGATTCCACTTGTACAAGGTACTTGAGAGTCGTCAACAGAGAGACAGGAAGAATAGTAGATGCCAGGGGTTGAGGGGAAAGCAGGGAGCTACTGTTTAATGGGGACAGTTTGTTTCACAAGGCAAAAAGAGTTCTGGAGATGGTGGTGGTGGTAAGTGCACAACATTATGAACATACCTGATCTCACTGAACTGTACACTTAAAAATGATTACAGTGGTAAATTTCATACTAGGTATATTTTACTACAAATTTTTAAAATTGGAAAAAAAATTGTACTGGGGGAAATGGAAGGGTAACACATGTGATCTGAATGAATAAATAAATTAATGGTGTAAAAGAGTAAGGCAGAGAGGGAATGAGAAGGTAGAAGGTAAATAGGTATTAATTGGTAAAACTGGTTTTAATTTACATTTTCTTGATGACTAATCATGTCCAGAGTCTTTTCATATACTCACTGGCCATTTATGTATCTTCTTTGGAGTAACATCTGTGCAGGTCCTTTGCTCATTTTTAAATTGGGTTGTCTTTTTTATTATTGAATTGTAAGAGCTCTTTATGTCTTCTGGATACAAGTCCCTTTTTAGATATAGGATTGCAAATATTTCCTCCTATTGTTTCATTTCTTTAATGGTGCCCTTTGTAGTAAAAAGTTTTAATTTTGGCAAAGTCCAATCTGTTTCTAGCTTTTGGTGTCATATCTAAGAAGCCACTGCCTAATGCAGGCCACAGAGATTTACACCTGTTTTCCCCTAAGCGTTTTAAAGTTTTGCTCTTACGATTAGTCCTTGATCCATTTTGTTTTAATTTTTGTTAAAGTGTGAAGTAGGCATCTTCATTCTGCTGCATGAGGTGATCCAGTTGTCCCAGCCTCTTGTGGAAAAGACCATTCTTTCTCCACTGAATGGTCTTGACATCCTTGTTGAAAATTAACTGCCGTAAGCGTGAGGGTTTATTTCTGGATTATCAATTTCAGACTATATATAAATCAATATTTCATTGCCAGTTATGTCTATGCCAGTATCACACTGTGTTAATTACTGCAGCTTTTTAGTAGGTTTCAAAATTAGGGAGGGCGAGTGCTCCAACTTTTTCAAGATTGCTGTAGCTATTCAAGGTTTCTTGAAATTTCACATGAATTTTAGGATCAGTTTGCCACTTTCTACAAAGAGACCAACTTGAATTCAGTTTATCATTGCATTCATCACTTTGCTTTTTAATTACACTTAGACAATGAATATGCTAGATGGTACTTTGTTTTGAAATTTCACTTGAATAGCAATATTGTGGTCCCAAGTTTTCCCATTAAACAATTAGAAAATTTAAAGGGACATATTTATTTTGGGTATCACATATGAATACAGGGTTTCAGTTCATTTAAAGACTTTATTTCTCACAGGTGTTAAAACTTATTAGTCATAAAAATCATCAAAATCATTGGTAGATGTGCTATGGTTTCTAGGACGTAAAGCAGCTTCAATTTCTGAGTTACTGTCATCAGACTCACCCCAGAAGGCTGGAAGAGAAAACCAGACAGCTATTAGCAGCTCTGCACTCTGATCAGCTCAGCTTTATCAGTGGGACCAGCTCACTGGTGCACGGGCCTATGAACGCCTACAAGGGCCACCACAGGTTGTGTCTAACCAGATGTACCCGAGTGCATGTCAGCACCACCCACTCTGACATGCTTCAGCATGCTCCTTGCAAGACACTTTGCAGAATACTCCCTTTTCCCTTCTGTTGTGCCCAACTCTCTACTGTAGGATGGGGACTTACATCAGGATTAACACAGAAGCAAGGTTACCTGTGGTGTTTTATCGGGTTTGATACCACCTCACCTAAGCTGCTCCTCCACTTTGACTACCTCTGTTCTTCATGAGCAGAAGGCAGAGGGGAAGACATGGTGGAGGAATTGTAGTGAGGTTTACAATGAGACAGGGGCTTGGATACATTTATTTAGGAAATTTACTGGGAAGGATGGGGAGGAGCTAAGACAGTGACACAGGAAGAGAGGAAACCAGCAGAGGGTATGTTAATGTGGGGGGCTGGCAGCAGACACGGGCTCAGTCCTGCAGGAGACCCTCTGAGAGACTGCAGAACTCACATCAGATTTCCCAAGAGTAAGGAAGTGGGGTTATTTACTGACCAACTCACACCTCTTGTTGGTGGCTGTTCTCAACCAGGGCATCAAATCCCTGGCACTCTGGGGCTGCCCTGTGAGGGCTGGGCATGTGCCTGTGGCCTGAGGAAGTTCTCAGGTAGAGATAACAGCTGCCTGATGTACAAGGCCACAGGCATATCCATGAACTGCACCAGATGATCTCCAGGGTGATGACAGGATATCATGGGGCACATTGACCATTTCCATGTCTGCCAATAATGACATGGCATGACCTGCCAGCTCCGTGATGCCTTCTTACATAGGATCCCACTGAATCCTTGCACCAACCTGGTAAGCTAAGTATTAATGTCTCCATTTTACTGAGCAAACAAGTGGAGACGTTAAGTACTTGGCCACAATCACATTGTTAGTAGGTGGTGAAGCCAGGACTCCCACCCAGGTTGTCTGACTCAAACCCATGCTCTCCATTGCCACCCACTGGAAATGGGGTTTAAGGAGACAGGAGTAGAGAGAGCCCAGGCTCAACTGCAAGCATGGAAGGAAGGGTAGATTCTCCCTGTGAGCTGTGTGTTGAAGGATGAGTAGGAGCTCACTGGGCTGAGGAAGATGGAAAGGAACATCACGAGCAAAGGCTCAGAGGTACAAGTGTGGTATACAGGCAGACCTCATTTTATTGTGCTTTGTGGATATTCCCTTTTACAGATTGAAGGTTTGTGGCAACACTGTATCAAGTAAGTCTGTTGGCACCATTTTTCCAACAGCATTTGCTCACTTCTTGCCTCTGTCACATTTTGATAATTCTTGGAATATTTTAAACTTTTTCACTGCTATATTTGTTATGGTGATCTGTGATCAGTGATTATGACTTGCTGAAAACTCAGATGATGGTTAGCATTTTTTAGCAACAGTGCTTTTTAATTAAGGTATGTACATCTTTTTTTAAACATAATGCTACTGCACGCTTAACAGAGCACACTACAGTGTAAATAAAACTTTAATATGCCCTGAAAACAAAAAAATTCATTTGACTACCTTTATTGTGATATTTGCTTTATCATGGTGTCTGCAACCGAACCTGTGATGTATATCTCCGAGGTGAGCCTCTATCTGGAAAAAGCTGGTTGTGACAAGACCCAAAGATGATAAGAGTGTAGGAAAAATTGAACTGGAAAGTGGGGATGGGGCCAGACCCCAAAGGAAGAAAGTTATAGACTCTATCCCGCAGGTGGTGGGAGGCACTGGCAATTCCTAACCACGATGGTGAGAAAACTAAATGTGGTTTTAGATGCTGGTGGCCAGGTGGAGGACAGTCAGCTGGGGAGGAGTTGCCTGTGCAGAAACCAGTCTGTCTGCTGCCAAGAACCCCGTCATGTCATGAGCAGTGGGTACTTGTAGGGCATTAGGAGGGAGGATGGAGACAGAGGCAAGAAACATTTCATATATTTGTGTTGTTAATCAATTTGAGGTGGAGGCCAGGAGACTCAACAAATTCATACTTGCAAATTAAGATTCTGTGCCTCTGTGGCCCATGGCATCTGTGTGTTCTCAGGCCATTGCATCACTCTGTCCCTGAAGATGGGGCCTCAAGAAGCCCTCTGATCCCCTCAGAGACCCCCTCACTCAGAGAGGGCTGCAAGGGCCGCCCCTCTGATCACAGGCCTGCTTCACAGTCCTTACACCAGGATGTAGAAAACAAATGCACATCATAAACAACTCTTTGGGTTAAAACACAAAATGAAAATCTGGTTTCTAGTTATTTCTCTTACCTGTAGGCTTTAAATTGGTAGCTAATTTCATTTTGTCTTCATGCCTGAAAAATAAAGAAATAGCCTAAGTTCTGAAAAAAATGACAATCAGACTAATATTTTTTTACAGCAGGCACATTATAGAAGCAGCACGTGTCAATCACTGGAAGGCCAGAAACTTCACATTTACTCTCCAAGGTTTAAAAGCAAAAGGAACACGTCTGGGCCCCGTGACCAAAGTATTTATATGCTGGTGCTTTGTCGGGAGCATCCCTAGTGCGACAGCTCAGCCACGATCGGTAGGGGGGTTGGGGGTGTCCTGCTGCCAGGCCTGCTGTGAGGGACAAGGAGGGCAGGGGACTGGCACCCCCACAGTCCTCTGGGAACACTGCTGCATAAAGCTACAGCACTTGTGCCTCAAATAGAGAATTCAACATGTTAGAAAGTAAGGAAAGCTGGTGGGGAATCTAAAATACTCACCTCTGGCAAGCCAGTGATACCAAAAAGGAGTTCAAAATAAACTCTCACTCTGCCTAACTAAAAATATTAACTCATGGTAGAGAAAAATGCAAGGACCCTGGCATCTATGTTTAGGTTTCTGTATGTCACATACACATACCACATGTAACACACAGTAACTGGTTCACTGGGGTCAATGTAACAAGCAACTGGCTCCACGGGATAGAGTGCCTCATCTCAGTGGGCCTCTTCAGGAGATTTGTGCAATCTTACTGAATTTGGAAGTCTCTTCTGGAAGCATCGTTCACAATTTTTTCTTATACGTAAATTCAAGTTCCTATAAATTCTATACATTTCCTACTGAATAGATTTTTTTCTTAAAAAAACATATTTGTGTAAGGTTTGACATTTTGATTTTCTCAAGTTTTTACCAAACTTTTCCTCAAGCTTTTTATTCCATTCCCTTAAAATAGATTCCAGCCTTTCACATGGGAAGACTGGCTGGCAAAGACACGCAGAACCTGTGTGCCCCACTGCTCTTCTCTCGGCTGGACCCTCATCCTCCTGGTGCAGGAAACCCCGGGAACTCACCTTCCCCCTGCCCTTGGGTCAAGTCTAGTTACCTATGGCTCAAATATCTGCCTTTTCCTGTAGTTGTGATAATTTATACTTTTCCCCCAGTAAAACAAGCTCCACTCAGGCAGGTATCATCTTCTAGGCTCAGTACCTGTCGACACTCCCTTTAAATATGGTTGCCTGTTTCTTTATTTGCCACAACCATCCAATGACCTGTAGCTATTTCTCCATGAAGAGCAGGTGACCCCAGACCATCTGAAAAGGCCCAGGTGCTGACTAACAGTCATGGCGGCTGCCAGTACGATGGCCTTACAGCTTACACAAAAATCCACCCTTACACCAAGTGCATACATATTCACAAGTGAGCATGTACACACACACACACACTAAATGCAACTGTGGGTTGTGTCTGCTGTTTACCTACCTCCCCTTTCATAAGGACACTTGAGGGGAGAGGCAGATTATAACAATGCTGGGAGAGCAAACAGGCTAATTTGCCAGGAGGAGTCCAAACAGTAAAAACCATAGGAAGACAGAGGAGAGTACCACCAGCAGGGAGAGCTGAGCACAGGGCAATGGGGTGGCTGCAGGATCCCGGAGGAAGCAAGGCACCTCCTGGACTCTGCTTGGAGAGTGGGAAAGGATTTTGTGGGCCAACAGCAAGGGCACAGTGGCAGGCAGTACAGGCCAGATCCCCACGGCCCACGACACTTCTCGGAGCACTTCTCCGAGCTGCACACACTGTGCCGTGCTCACTTGCTGGCTCTACCTGGCTGCCTCCAAATCCTCTGTCCACACGCCCACCCTCACCAAATCCACATCCTCTAGTGTGGTCCCCCTCCCTGCCAAACCAGGCCCCTCCTGATGTTTCAGCCAATGGCATCCCAACCCTGCACTCCCTCCCAAGCTCCTGTCTGCTTCTCTACCCACCCGCATCCAGTCAGGCCCTCATCCAGCCAAGTTTGCCTCCCAGTGCTTCCCAGAGTCCTCCTCTTCCTCTGCACACTGCCACCACCTGGTCATCAAGACCAGCGTCTCCTGCCTGGGCATCTGTAACAGCCTCTAACGGGAGACACTACATCCACTCTGCCCCCACAGTGCATTTCCCTCTCAGCAGCAAAAAAGATCTTTTCAAAACATGAAGCTCACTCCACTCCTTGCTTTTTAAAACTCCCCAGTGGCTTCCCATTGCTTTTGGCACAAGACCAAAGTCCTGCATAACACCCCCAGACTTTGTCAGCCCCCCTGCTGCAGGGTCCCCGTCCCTTCCCTCCCACCCCTGCTGTTTCACACCCACCTGTGTAATTGCGTGATTGCCCTCCACCCCAAATTGTAAGCTCTACAAGGGTGGTAGCCATACCTGTTTCAGCTCACCTGGGTGACCCCATGCTTTGCTCTTAGTAGGTGCTCAGTGATTATGTGTGGAATGAGAAGATGAACCTAACTAAGCACAGGGTTCTGCTTCACGTTCCCCTATCAATATCCAGTGATACATTATTTGATTGCATGTTTCTATGTATTATGTGACTTTGGAATCAGGTTGTTCATGTTTCTTATGAGAACTAAATTGATATAGTTCACTCACAGAGAAGGGTGAGCAATGCTCTTGCGTGGTTCAGGGGAAAGGGCAACTGCCTCCGGCAGGCTCCCTTGGCGAGCGAAGCACCCAGCCTGCAGTGGTGGTGCCCCGTTCATGCACTCACTGCCTCTCCCAGTGGACATCACATGGGTGATGCTACAGGTTAGGCTCTGTGCTAGGACTGCAGCAGTACAAGCCACACTGGACCTCTGCCCATGGAGCATGCACCAGTGCAGAAAGAGACACCAAAATAGTAACTGACACAGGAGGAAACTGTGGCGTGGGCTGAGAACTTATGTCAGCAGAAGTCGGGTTAACAATCCAGGCCCCCAACATGTGCCAAGAGCCCACAAGCCCTCATCATGTTCAGTGCCAGGAGACAGACACCATTTTGCCAGCGACAGGATGGCCTCTGGGTAAGGACCACACTAAGGTGCTTTGTAAGTATGCTTTCTCAGGTCCTGCTTCCTGAAAACCCTGTGCAGAGTTCATGAGCCCACAGGCCATACTCCAGGCTGGCCTCCAGTCTCTGGGAAGGTTCATATGCATGCCCCACATGCCCCTACACCCCACTAGTCCCTGTGGCGTGGGTTCGTGTTGCCAGGCAGCTGACTATTGTTAAGACGGCTGCCTGATGAGTGGTTCTGCTTATGCTGATGCTTGCTTGCTCACAAACCCCAACAGCATTGGGCACTGGGGACTGAGAAGAGCCCCAGAACCTCAATGAGCCGCTCCTAGTGGAGAGAAGGTGCCTGTAAATGGCTTCTACCTGTAGAAGAAACAACCAGGTGCCACAGGAGGGCATCTTGTGTGACTAGATTCTCTGCTTAGGACATTTTAGGAGGGTAAAGAGTTAAGCCTTGAATATCTGGTGGGGCGTCAGTCAGATGGAAGCATTCCAGCACAGGAGCTCTGATGAACACCTGGGCATGTAGCACCACATGCTGTATGAGCATGTGCCATGTGGCTGCCCAGTGAGCATGGGAGGGGTGAGGTGTCACTGCAGAGAGAAGGCCACTTGGGGCCTGGGGCTGGTGCAGGCAGCAGGAACTCTCAGAGACTCACAGCAGAGGTGAGACAGTCAGGTGGGGTGTCGGACACTCACCCTTGGCTTATGGGGAGGAGGAATTGGGAAAACAGCAGACCTGGGGATGTCCTAATGTCAGTAACCAGTTGACTCTCAACCTTATGCTCGATATTATTTTTTGAAGGAAACTACATCCACAGCCCACTAACAAATTACTCAAGTTATAGTGACTTTGAGGTCATGTTGGTTGAGTTTGGCAGTGACACTGAGGGTCTTTCCAAGAGCAGAGTCTGTAGTGTTGGGGACAATGAGGAAAGGCTCCCAGTGGAAAGTGTCTTTCCAGTCCTAGGGTCTTACTATAAGCCTGAAAATAGCTTTTAATGCTTTTTACTGCTAGCTAATACCAGTATTAAAATGTTTCAAACAGCATCTTCAGGATAACTTTATTCAAAGCACACATACATTTCTAAAAATTAGAAGGCAAAAGCAATTTAGAAAGAAGAAAAATCCAATGAGTGTGTCAATAAATCTCTAAATACTATATATAATCTTAAGGTTTAAAAGCTGACCAAAGTCTGAGTTTTAATTTGACAAAGTCCGAGCGCCCCCTCATGGTTAACCAGGGGCCCTGCAGCAGATGCCATTTTATCTTTTTAGCTGCCTGGGAATGGAAGCATTCCAGCACAGGAGCTCTGATGAACACCTGGGCATGTAGCACCACATGCTGTATGAGCATGTGCCATGTGGCTGCCCAGTGAGCATGGGAGGGGTGAGGTGTCACTGCAGAGAGAAGGCCACTTGGGGCCTGGGGCTGGTGCAGGCAGCAGGAACTCTCAGAGACTCACAGCAGAGGTGAGACAGTCAGGTGGGGTGTCGGACACTCACCCTTGGCTTATGGGGAGGAGGAATTGGGAAAACAGCAGACCTGGGGATGTCCTAATGTCAGTAACCAGTTGACTCTCAACCTTATGCTCGATATTATTTTTTGAAGGAAACTACATCCACAGCCCACTAACAAATTACTCAAGTTATAGTGACTTTGAGGTCATGTTGGTTGAGTTTGGCAGTGACACTGAGGGTCTTTCCAAGAGCAGAGTCTGTAGTGTTGGGGACAATGAGGAAAGGCTCCCAGTGGAAAGTGTCTTTCCAGTCCTAGGGTCTTACTATAAGCCTGAAAATAGCTTTTAATGCTTTTTACTGCTAGCTAATACCAGTATTAAAATGTTTCAAACAGCATCTTCAGGATAACTTTATTCAAAGCACACATACATTTCTAAAAATTAGAAGGCAAAAGCAATTTAGAAAGAAGAAAAATCCAATGAGTGTGTCAATAAATCTCTAAATACTATATATAATCTTAAGGTTTAAAAGCTGACCAAAGTCTGAGTTTTAATTTGACAAAGTCCGAGCGCCCCCTCATGGTTAACCAGGGGCCCTGCAGCAGATGCCATTTTATCTTTTTAGCTGCCTGGGATCAATTTATTAACTCCTTTCCTTTAGCTAATCAGGCAAGTAATTTGTTCTTTCGTGCTCTGTGTAGCAAAATAAAGTATGTGGGCTTATGATGAGAAATATTTAGGATATTTCTAATTTGGTGCAATTTAAGGAGGAGGCAGATTTGCTAAACTGGGGATGGAGATGGGGGCTTTCATATGAGAACATAAAGGACTTTTGGGAAAACCTCATTTTTACTTCACTGGACTTCTGATTTCCTGTGATATTCATATTATCCCAAGGAAAGGCCACAGTGACCAGGCAAGAATGGAGATACTACCGCCCCTTCAGAGGATCAGAGGCAGTCTGGTGCCCTCCGCTGGCCGCTCCTGTAGCTCCAGGGCTGGCACAGAATGCCACCCACAGAGGCCCTGCCAGGGTGCTAAGACTGGATGACTACTGCTACTTTTTCCTCGGGCAATTATATTGCAAGCACACATTCTTTTCTTCTGGTAGGACATTATCTCCACCCAACCTGTGAACTGAAGGTACACAGCAGGCTGTTAAAATATACTTTGCATTGAATAGATGGAAAGGGGAGAGTGAAAACCTGGGGCTTCCTGGGGAGGGTAAAGCGAGACAATGTTTGCAGAGGGAGAGGAAGCTCTGGCATGCACCCCTGAACAAAAGGGAACAAGTGGTCTTTACTGGGAGAACAGCTTCCTATTAGGGCTCACTCCTTCATGCATTAAGCCTTTCATCCCCACTCAACCACAAAATGATTTTGCTGAAGCAAATACAATGGTAGAAAAAGATTTACACTGAAAGAATCTTTAATAATAAACTGTTGCCGATCTGCCTCCTTGCCCGTGATTTATAATACAATAAACATCAGATTCTATTACGGCTCATGCACAGAAGCTGCCGCTCTGAAAACCGGAATATGAAGGAGCCCGGGCCCCACCACCAGCACAATGAAATGAGCATGTATAAATGTGCTAAGAGTATCTCTTTGCATCTTTTATAGCTTGTGTGTATTAATCTGTAACGCTTATTAAGAAAGTCATTGCTATGCAAAGCAGCACCCAATCCCTTTCTCTGGCTTTTCAACAGAGTGCACTGTTTAGCCAATAGGACGGGCCCTCTGGCCCTCATTCTGCATTCATCACAGGCAACATTTGCACAATGTATCTCTCAAAGGCGGCTGAAAAGAAGGCCTTAATACTCATGTAAACAACTGCAAACCAATTACTTAATGAATCAGGCCCACACATAATGAGGTGCAGACAAAGAGCTATAAATGCATTTTTGCACCCAAGCTGCTGCTTTAAAGTAAAATCCCTCAGCTGTAGTTTGGACTTAACTAGCACATTATAATTATTGTCTCCAGGACATCAGAGGAAGCCTTTTTTTTTTAGGTCTACCAGGGTCTGTCTGTTTTTTTTTCTTCTTTTTTTGAGGTCGCTCATCAGCTCACTGACAAAATAGAGCGAAGAAGAATTTTTAAAAGTGCTACAGCAGCACTGCACTATTCTGTTTATTCTCAAGTACTGGGTTTCAAAACCACTTGTAAAAGCAATAAAGCACAAGGAGTGACTGCAGTAAGTGGGATCCTTAAATGTAAGCTCTAAGAAATTTCAGTGAATCCCAGCACAAACAGCAAAACCAGAGCTCTCCAAAGCCCAGGGTGGTGTATGAACAGCACCAAACCCAGCACAGGAACAAACGTGACAACTGCACGCCCCAGACCTTCTTCCCTCACGGCATTATTCCCAAGTGCCCAGAACCAAGTTCCTTGAAGACCTTTTCACCTCCCTTAAAGGGAGTGATGAGATTATTTGTAATTTAGTTAGGAAATTAATTTCATGCAGATACAACAGTAATACAAATGGCCCCTGCCTCAAACTGAAGGGGAAAAGAGTTTGATTTTAAGTTTAGTGAAATACAGATGCAAGGTATGAAATATTTAGGCTGGGAAAATGTTCTAGAGTCCAACTGCTTTCTAAGAATATTTAAAAACTGGCCAAAGAGAGAGTGTGTATGTGTATATATATATATTTACATATAAAGAAAAGTTTAAGAGAAATTGGGTATTTTAATGTTTCTAAAATAGTATGGAAACAAACACCTCTAACAACCTTTAAAAACTAAAGGGATGTATTATTAAGCCAGGCGGTATCATTAAGCCCTGAAAACTACCTGTAGAATTTATTATCTTTCAAAATTTCTTTTAGAAGACCTACAACTTGAATTTATAGTATAATCATAACAATACAATATTTTGATACTCTTTCTGCCCCATAATTCTCTCTCTCCCAGTTCCTTCAAAAGCATGAATGAAAACACAGGTATATTAATTTCTGCTAAATAAATGAGTAATTCTCTAAAACTGAACTTGTCCAGTTTCTAAAAGCAAGAATTTTAGAAAATCGATCTCATTTTAATATAAGCCAGATCTTAAAATTATTATATTTTTCAAAATATAAATGAAAATAGGGCTTTTGTATTAAAAAATTTAGACTTTTAAATTAAAGAATACTGATTTCTGGATCAAATCATTTGATCTTATGGGACATTATATGTGACATTAGAAATGCAAAGTTCTTGTTTTAAAACTTAAAATAAAAATCAGGGTAAGAAGTTAATTCACATGTAATATAATCATCTAAAGGACATCTTTTTAATGAGAAATGTTATTATGAAAGGACACGGTTTTAAATGATATTCAGTTCAAAGCCAAAAGTAAGTATTTTATCAGACAGTTGCTTCTGTTTCCACCTATGAATTCTAAGTGACTCATATCACTGTGTGATTAGTGTTTTATGTTGGTGACAAATTAAGAGCATAGCTCACTTACTGCTTGAAGAATTTATAACAAGTGCTATCGAGAAAATAAATTGTGTTCCTTATGGAAAATAAGAAGGTATCAGAAAAGGAAGAATAATCTAGCCAAAATACTTGGTAAAAAAGAGGAAGACAAAAACAAATATCCAGCAAAATTGCTAGTATATATGTCAGCTGGCTCAGAAAGAAGAAACAGGCCACTTTATTTCTTTGAAGGCCCAATGTTTTCTCTCTGCCCTTTTCCGACACCCTCCATTGTGTGGTCTCTAAGCAGCCTACTGCGAGCAGCTGTAAACGCTAATTTGTGGTTCACTGAGGTGTCAATTGAGTCTTAAACCAAGGGAAAAACAGCTGCAAAACAATACTTGGCTCTGGTGCAAATATTTTCAAAGGTAGACTAAAATTTCAACTGTTATTTTAGATATATAAAAAACCAAACCATAACCTTCCATCAAGTCACACAACAAAATCACATGCAGCCAGAGTTTAATTCATTGCACAGTGACATTTCTCATCTTGTTGCTGCTATTCAGAAAGGCTTTGGCGAATTTACCTTGACAAAGGACTTCCTTTGCTAGATGAAAAACTAGCTTCTGAAGCAATTTTGTTAGTTGTCTTTGTCTTGAACGTACTGCTGCCAGTGTTCAAACCTGTGATAGCACAAGCGGAGAGAGTGAGCATTAGCTGCCATGTAGCAGTGATACACTCTGCACCACGCAGCAGCCTCTCAATAACTTCAGTAAAACAAATGTAACCGGAGGAAGATGCTGTCAGACCACAGAAGGCAACATAGTTTCGGAGGTGAAGGACTGGGTGGTAGAATACTGAAAGGAAGTGGTGTCTCCTGTGATACTTAGACACTAGCCACAAAAAGTAACAAATAAAATCATTTAAAGAGTTCTCTTTTAAGTGAGCAAGATGCACATATATGCATGTGGGTCTGCTGTGGCACTAAGCACTGGATAACTCACATTGTTATATAACGCACGGGCAGTGACAGATCACCAAGAGAATGGGTGCTGGGAACCAAGACTCAGAAATAAGTGAACCCCTGGATGACAGTTACTCATCCCATCCACCCTTAAGTCCTCTGCCAAATCTTCTGTTTTTCCATCTCGCAGAAGAGAATGAGTCTCCACTGAAAACCATCAAGGCCACTCTAACCAGCCTGTAAAGGTTGATGGGATGACACACAATCCACCTCTATCCTGGAGCCAGGGGAACAGGACTGTCCCCACAATGTTTCCAGCTTGAGGGGCAATCCCTGATCTCCATCTCCTGGCTGTGTTCTGCCTCGGGTATTTCTGCTGCAAGTCTGATCTTACCCGCAGTCACCTGAGGGCACGGCTGCAGAGTGCAGGCATGCTGCTCAAAAGGCACCTGCTGCGGAGGCTTCTAAACTGTAACCTGCTCGCCTTCATGTAACCCCTGCAGCAAAGTGATTCCATTAACTGTGTGTCCATGTTCAGCCCCAAGAGGGTCTCCATGCTTTTAACAGGACAAGACATGAGAATGAAGGCACAAAGTTTAGGTGACTTGCTTTCCTTACTGACAGGTCAAGGGACAGAAACCTAAGACAACTGATGTAGAAAGTAGCTGAACATATGCTTGTTCTTCAATAGTTAGATTTAGGGACAGCTCTTGAGTTCAGAGCACACATCTCTACTACTTGTAACAGAGCTGTGAATCCCCTTTTGTTATCAAAAGTTTCCTAGTTTAGATATAAATTATATTGCCATCTTACTTAAGAGACACAGACTCCAAAGGCAATGTGTTGGCATAGTTTGGCTACTGACACACACACACAAGAACTGTAAGAAACATTTGAACACTGATACTGATAAATTATTATTAAGTAATAAATTATATAAAGTAAATACCAGAGGCAGTATGTAACTACACTGACAGTCAGTACCACCAGAAGTGCTATTATGATTCCCAAGGCAGAATATTTAGAATTTTGCAAAGCACATAGTGTAATATTGAGTGTAGAGTGAGGGAACTGAATATAGGGATGCTTGACTATACAATCTATAAAGTACCACTTCACTTATGAATAAATTAATAAGCAATATATTATTAGTATAGTAATAGTACCAAAATTTTTTATACATACAGATTATGTCAAATTTACTCATCCTTTGAACCTGTCCAATTAACTATCCAAAATATACTTTTTCAAACATGTCACCTTTCAAACATGTCTGTCTGCTAACTGGCTGTAATGCCCTTAGCAAGGCATTTGGGGCCTCATTTGTAAAATGTGGGGTCTGGATAAGTACTTCCTAAGATGCCTCTGGATTCTAATTCTGTGACTCAAATGTGAAGATGGTGATGGTTAACTGCAAATGTTTAAGAGGCTCTCAAGTGCTCTATCTTTCCAAAGTGGCGAAGACCTCCACCAGAGGAGAGGTCATTTTATACAAAGTACAATGTCTCATGTTTGCAGAGTTCAAATCACCCACCCCCCATCACCACTACCATGGCCAGCCCTCCCTGAGGGTTCTTCTCTAAGAAGCCACTGTGCTGGCATTTAACCTATAGTGACTCACTGAATTCTGAACACAACCAAAATGTGACTTCACTGAATCCTGAACACAACAAAACTGAATTTTCCAGCAACTGATTCTAAGACTGATATTGTCTAGGAAATAGCTCTCCAATGACAGACAGCTAGGCCTGATACACCAAATATTTGTTCCTCAAAATAATGTCTGTCTGATGAAGACATCTTTGAGACAACTGGGAAATCTGGATATGGACTGGGAATTATGTAATATTAAGAAAACACTGTTCATCCTGATAGGTGAAATTATGGCATGATGGTTTATGTAAAAATAAAGTCATTAAAGTGTACTTCCTCTTGCATTAATCCATTTACTTGCACAAAGGGAGTTAAGGTTACTTATACAAAAAAAAATGATATAAGACAAAAACCACAGAAAACAATAAAAATACAATGAAGCACACAAAAACAAAGAAAATTATAATTAAAATGAAAATATTATATTGAAAGAACTACAGTATAAGCTTAAAAGTTCCTTTTACTGGGATTTATAGTCTTTTCATTTAAAGAGCCCCAGCCCCCAACATTCTGGGGAAGGAGAATTAGCCCAGCACAATGGTCAACACTGACAATTAAGAAACAGGGAGATTTGGGAAAGAAGGAATTTAGGGTATCTTCTGTGGTATTTAGTAATAGATTACCATCATGACATGCCAAGTAGAATCCAAAGGCCTACAAGAGCCATCGTCTTGCTGGTGGCCAGCACATACCTGGAGTAAAGACTCTTCAAAATTTTTGTTCGTTAAGCATTGAAAAAGTATCGGCTCATCCTGACCTGTTGACAGCTTGTTACAAAGCACCAGAAACCTTCAAAGAATGGCTGCCCTTGCCTGAACACAACACTGGCCACTGCCTTGGACCCCCAGGCACTGGCTTCACGTGCAAAATCTGCCCTTGCTTACCTGGCAGCTGTGATACAGAAGCACCTGCCTTTTGGAATGTGTCTTCAGTTTGATTTGTATTATCCTGAAGGGTACACTGCTTCAGCAACTGGTAGGCTTTTGTTTCTAGAGAGTATAAAAAGGCACAGGTAACTGGATATCCACATGCAAAAGAATAAAGTTAGATCTTACATCATACACAAAAATCAACTCAAAATAGATTACAGACTTAAGACCTCAAACTATTAAATTCCTATAAGATGACTCAGGAGAAGAGCTTCAGGACATTGGATCTGGCAAAGGTTTCTTGGATTTGGCACTAAGAGCACAGTCTGCAAAACAGCAAATAGACAAGTGGGACTGCAGTAAACTTAAAACTTGTGTGTATCACAGGAAATAGTGAAAAGACAACCTACAGAATGGGAGAAAATGACTGAAATGGTATATCTTATAAGGGGTTAATATCCAGAATATACAAGGAACTTCCACAAGTTGATGACAGCAACAAAACCTGATTAAAAACTGGGCAGAGACACATGGTGTGTGTGGGGGAGTCACAGGGAAGAAAACACAGCACAGAAAAGACAAGTAGTGACTGTGGCATCTCACTATGCCCATGGACAGAGACTGCAATGGGGAGGGGGGACTTGATAATATGGGTGAATGTAGTGACCACAGTGTTGCTCATGCAAAACCTTCATAAGAGTGTATATCAATGATACGTCAATAAAAACATAAAAACAAAAAAACTGGGCAAAGGACTTGAGAAGCCATTTCTTCAAATAAGATGTACAAATAGCCAAAAAAGATGCCCACATCACTAATCATCAGGGAAATTCAATGAGGTATCACTGCATCCATCAGGATGGCCACTATCAGGAGCAGATAGTAACAAGTACAGACAAGGATGCAGACAAGCAGGAACCCTCACACACTCCTGGTGGGAAAGCCGAACTGCAGCCATTATAGAACATGACATTGAAGTTCCTCAACAAATTACAAATAAATTACCATATGATTGAGCAATCCCACTTCTGGTTTTATATCCAGAAGAACTGAAAACAGGATCGTGAAGAGATACTGGTCCACCTATGCTCACTGCAGCATTATTCAGAATAGTCAAGAGGTGGAAGCAGCCAAAATGTCAATCAACAGAAAAATGGGAAAGGAAATGTGGTATATACACACATGGAATGTAACCTTAGAAAAGACAGAAATCCTGTCACATACCACATGTATGAACCCTGAGGACAGTATGCTAAGTGAAATAAGCCACTCACAAAAGGGCAAGTACTGTATGACCCCAGTCATCTGAAGTATCAAAAGTAGTCAAAATCATAGAAACAAAAGTAGAAGGTAGTTACCAAGGGCTGGGGAGAAGGGGGAAGGGAATCACCAGTTAGTGGGTATAGTGTTTCAGTTCTCCAAGATGAAAAAGCTCTGGAGAGCTATCCGTTGCATAACAATGTGAATATACTTAACACCACTGAACTATATACTTAAAAATAGTTAAGATAGTAAATTTTACATTATGTTTTTTTTACCACACATAAAAAAGAAAAAAGAGTAGTAAGATATCCTAATTTGTCCATGACAGTTAAGGTCTGTGCCTACTTTTCCAGTAAAATTATTAATAGAATCCCCTTTTGTTATCAAAAGTTTCCTAGTTTAGATATAAATTATATTGCCATCTTACTTAAGAGACATAGACTCCAAAGGCAATGTGTTGGCATAGTTTGGCTACTCACCCACACATGCAAGAACTGTAAGAAACATTTAAACACTGATATTGATAAATTATTATTAATTGTTTAAGTTGTGAAATAAGAGATGCAAAAATATTGTATTTTCTATTGCCCAGAGGGCAGTTTATCAAATTCTTCCTACAATATTAACACATTTAAAATTCATACAAATTATTTTTTTGACTGTTATTTTTTAGAAATTCTGATTAAAAAAACAACAAAAATTGAATTGAACCAATGTTTTAAGACTTGACAAGTTGTGTGTTTATTGAGTTGGCCTGATTCCAGTCATTATTTTGACTGGGTCTGTGGATAGGTTCAACAGCACAGTAAAATGGTTTGTCTCCACTGCAGGCCTTACAGGAGCCTCACAGGGAAGAACCAGAATAGACAGCCCTGATTTCCTTGGCCGGCTGGTCACTCAGGAGCAACCCCTGCCCTGGCTCTCAGGCTCTCACATTTGAGTGCAAGGCCTCTGGAAGAGGGCTGGGTGAGTGGCAGGAGGGTCAGGAAGGTTAGGAATAGCAGGATGAGCTCAGAGACCCACAGCTGAGAAAATCTGAGGCTTGTTGTGGGGATGGAGAGAAAGCATTTGCAGGGAGCAAAGACCAGAGCCCCAGGGAGATCGGCAGCAGCCTGGAGCTGGCTCAGGGCCACAGGGTGCTTCGGCTCTGTGGGGCTTCTAATGGTGACTGCTCTAAGCTAAAGCAGCGAGACAGTTGGAAAAAACAATAAACAAAAACCAAGTAAAGGACCCGAGTGACACAACCTCTCCCATTACTTCAAGCCTCAATGGTTCCTGTAGAAAAGGAGGGGAGAATTAGAATTTCAGCACAGATGTAACAAAATAGTATCCATATCCATATCTTCAATGAGGCCAGAAATAAAAGGATCCCTGCTGTCAGCACCAGAGGCTGGCAACTGGCTCCATTCTTGCTTTCTCTGGCTCAATTTAAGAACTTAACCACAAGCCCCTTATTACTGGATTACAACTACTGTCGCACTGAAGAATAAAAGTTCTCTTCTTGCTCTACTGAGAATCAATCAAGAAAAAACAAGTATTTAAAAGGAGCATATTTTAGAATATTAAATGCTATATAATTAAAATGTATATAGATCAGGGACTCTTAACTCTGAAAATAATAAGTCTTAAGGCAACATTTTTTAACATTGCTCGGTTGTGAAATCAGTTTGGTGCATTAGAACTAGAATTTTGAAAAGTTTAATTAGGAACACATTAGATGCAGTACATGAAGAAGGGGAAAGAAACTACTGCGTAATGTCTGTGTGTGTGTAGTATTGCCTGGGACAGAAAGTGACTCTTGCTCTAGGCTAGTCCCACTGTCTCAGGGTGTCCCAATAAAAGGGGGCATCATAGCCACTCCCAATTAATCTCAATGTCTTACTCACTACTTCAAATTTGTTGTGACATTATTTTGGGAGAGAGGAAATATTAATAAAATCAAAGAGTGTCTGAATTCTAAATTGGTAACAAATCATTGTAAGAGAGGTGGAAACGCTTTCTGTATTGTTTTTTATTTTACAGAGATCAACCAAAAAGTTTTTCAGCTTTTAGGATACAAGTCCAGATCATAATGACCATATACTACTTCTGCATTCAATTAAACTTACAGGTCAAAGAAAAGATAGCAAAGACAGAACTTTTAAAAAAGAGAAAGGAAGAAGGAGGAAGGGGGAGGAGGGGGACGGGGAGGGGAAGGAGGAGGAGGAGGAGAGGGAGGAGGGGGGAGGGGGAGGAGGGGAAGGGGGAGGAGGAGGAGGAGGAGGAGGGGGAGGAGGAGGAACAGGAACAGCTTCTTGATAAACAAAGGCTCCTGGTGGTTGGAAGCTGAAACCAGGATTTCCTCTCTTCTACTGTCTTATGGAAAATAATTTGACTCCAGTGAGCTGGCTGTCTTGCTCTTCAGAAACCAGGGAAACATGTACCTTTTATTTTCAGGAGATGACTTTTGTGAAAAATGTCAAGCTAGTTTTTTTGAGGTAATTTCAGATTTGGGGGGAATTAAATATTGTGTCCAAATATAAGACAGTACAGATATTACTAATGGTCTGAGTCTAGCAAAGCAGGAATATGATATAAATTCACTCTTGGCAGCAACAGACCATTTTATTACTCTGGATAAGAGAGGCCACTTCCATGCTCCACAGACTTTCCATCCCAGTTTACTTACCTTCCCCTTCCTCTTTGTTAGTTTTTAAAACTGAGGAATAGCTGACATATAACATTTTATTAGTTTCATAAGCACATCATCATGATTTTATATCCATGTACACTGTGACATGATCACCACAGTAAGTCTAGTTAGTATCTGTCAGCATTATGGTTACATTTTTTTTTTCTTGTGATGAAGACTTAAAATCTGCCTTCCACTTCCTTCTTGAAGAACTTGGACTCTGTAACTGAGATGTGGCCTTTCCCTTCAAGGCTGCTACTCTGAGTCTGCTTGCAATTGTACAACAGTTTTGGAGGGAGAGGATTCATCTTTCCTGCTCTGTTCACCCAGAAACCAATCCCCCTCCCACCATGGCTTCTCACTGGTACTGGATCCTTAAACTGGTTGTGGCCCTTCTCTAAGCAGAGAGTCGCTAAAGCCTGCCTGGACATTCTTTTTTTTT